ATTTATTAAACCCAGTGTGTGAAAGTGTCTTTTGTATTGTATGTGGGAAGAAGTAAGTTAATAGAGCCTGTCAGGTGACTAATTCTCAGCTAGGTAAAGTCAGCCAGGGTTAGCAGTAATTTTGTATTCCTTATGTAAGAGACCAATGAAGGCAGAATAAGGGGAGGTTCATCTGTACCTGGCACGATGCCTTCATAGTCTTTACAAACTGCTCAAAAATGCTTATTACATGATGAATTGTTTATTACTCTACCTCATATTCATTCCCATTAAGGTAAGGGCTTTGACAGTTTACTAAGTGTTATGTATCGGTGATGATATATCCATTTGTGGTTAGCTCTCTTAGTGGCTGCTATTCTGGTTTGTACATGCATCATAGCACAAAGTTAAGTTAATCGCACAGGACATAGGTTTTTTGCACAGGACATAGATTTTGGCTCTGTTTGCCTGATGAGTTGGTAAAAAAAAAATTGAATCTGATTGTAGATATGTAAAAACACTAGCCAGATTTAGACATGCATTTGTTACTTTGAATGTGAGCCAAAGAGAGATATGGCCACTAGACGGCTTGTAATTTTTATCTTCTTTAAAGTGACATGCCCTTTAGACTTGGGTTATTCCATTGGACTTGGAGATATGGGTATTTATACAGAACCAAAATCTAATTTTCACTGCACACTGAAAAACATTCTCTGTAAACGGATCCATTGGGAAGGTCTCATTAGGTTTCAATTTCTTCTCTGTTTTCACCTCTACCTAATGGTTACCTTCAGCCATCTAAAGAAACAAAAGGCAAAATTATCATCAATCACTGCATTTTATACATATCAGAGATGTAATAAGACTATAGGGTTGAAGGTGCAAAAAGAGAATCAATTCCAAATGCTAGTTTGGCAAGGTAATGCTACTCGTCAGTATAAAGGTAGAGAAGATCAGAGAACATGCGTGGACCATTGACCTTAATATAGTTTGAGATTTTTCAATGATGTTTGACATTTGTCTGACAACTATAGTTAAACTATAAATTTAAGCTAAGTCCTCCTCTTTTCTCCTCCACTTTTTTTCCTCGCCTCCTACGGATTTCAGTCCTCAGGTAGGATGGCGTCTAACTTGGGACAACATTCCCTCTTTGGCCTTCTGATTGCTGCGATTACAGGTCCAGCAAACATGTCTTTTTCAAATATGCTCTTCTCTGGTATCACTGTAAAAGTTGGTATATTTAACTCTCTACATAAAAATCAGCTTTATTCAAAATGCATGCATGAGTTGCCATTGCATTTGGAAAAAGTATTCATGGCCTTGGCGATGGTAGTGTAACTTCAGTGGTATAAATTCCACTGTGATCACTATCACTTCTGCTAAAAATGGAAGCTGGGTAACATCTCCCATGCTTTTCATAATTATTCAGGATCCACTGAGGAAAAACCACCATTGGAATTTAGAGATGTTTTAGCTAAAGTGCATGTGTTCCATCAACTACACAAAATGTGCTTCTGGAGAAACAGCGAGACTTCTGATTATACAATGTGGTAATGGGAAGAGATTGCAGAGCCTGTGTGGGCTGCCAGAGAGGTGCTAAGCTTTGAATAAAATGGCACTTTATCATCTTCGAGAAGCAATCAGAAGTGAGGAACAAAGACTTAAAAGTAAATTTAGACCAAATTCCCATACTTCTGTAATTTAAGTATTTGTTTTGCTTTCTCGTGCTTTAGATTAATCGCCTTCATATTAGAAAAACTGCCTTTCCTGTTCAGTGTCAGTAGGAGGGTCATTCAATAGTTCTGGGGTAAGGCGGAGGAATTTTGGTTAGAAACCGAATTTTTAAACTCAGAGAACAGTGAATTTTTACATAGTGTCTGAGAGGCATTTGAAATATTTGCTGGTAATTCATGCAGAATCCTCCAGGAAAGCTCTAGAGATCTGGGCTAGGGTCCAAAATTTTAAATTCCCTTGATTTATAAAACTTACTTGTCAGATTTTGGTATATACGCTCATACTTTCAGATCATATCTATAAAGTAAAAGATACTTTTATGTAGGGCTAGCATGTAAATATTTCTGAAAATTGCCTTTATTAAGTTATCTGCCTTTCATTTATACCCTAGTGCATTGGTTTTCTGTGGCTGCTATAACAAGTGACCACAAACACATTGCATATTAAAACGTTGAGAAATATATCCCCTCACAGTTTAGGAGACTGGGACTGTGAGATTCATGTGAAGACAGGGCGGCACTTCCTCTGAAATGTCCAAGGAGAATCTGTTCTCGCTTCGGGGTTGCAGGGAATCCTGGCTAATGACTTCATCACTTCACCGTCCTGGCCTCTTTTTCTTCTGCCTTCTCTTCTGCTTCTTTAAATTGCTCTCAGCCTTCTTCTTGTAAAGATACTTGTGATTACATTTAGAGCCCACCCACAGACTTTCCCCATCACAAACTCTTTAAATTTGATCTAAAGATTTTTTGCCATATAAGGAAATATTCAGAGATTTTTTTTTTTTTTTTTTTTTTTTTTTTTTAAGAATCAGGACATAGGCATCTTTGGATGGTAGCTATTCAGCCTTCACAGCAAGCATCACCTCACTGTGGGTATCCATATGGGTGGGTCCTGTGGTAATTTTCTCCCACTTTACCCTCGCTGTCAATGCAAGGGGAGTGGACAGCCAGCCAGGACAGTGTTAATCCACAAACCCTGATGTCTATGTGGGCAGGAGGGAGAAAGAGAAAATCATACAAAGATTAATGCTGTGTGTCTTCTTACTCAGGCATTCTCCATTTTATTTACTGATTCTGGAGCTCCCTGATTCAGCTAGACCAGAGAGTAACAGGAATCTTTCTTCTAGTTACAGAAGTTACAGATGCATGCTCCATACATGGCATTTTTTTTTAATATAGGTGCTAAGGATACTAATTGAAGTCCCCTCTGCTTAGATGGTGTGAACTTTATTAACTGAGCCATCTTCCCAGGCCCAAGGATTATTTTGTTGAGCTGTAGCCTGCACCTCCAGTTTTAACCACTCACATGGCCAATACATTTGATTAGAAGTGGACTGAGAGTACAGGCCATTTTAACAAGCGTTTCCTCACTGACACAGGCATTTGAAGCATGTGTCCTAGCAACAGTGACTCTTCTGTGAAGCTTATCTTTTTAGATTAGATTACATGCCTCTTTTCCCAGTACAGGGGAGCTAGGGAAGTTCAAGATCATTCTCAGCTCTGAAGTGAGTTGGAGAACAACTTCAGCTATATGAGACCTGCCTCAAAAAAGCAAAGGAAATCTTTCTTTTTTTTTCCACATCTTGTATTGAAATCTTAGTTCTTACGTGTCGTCTTAGTGTGGATTTGCAGAAGTCACCTGGTGTCTCTCTTCCTGTGCAACAGAAAGACAATAAAAGAGTAAAGGTGATAGTATAGATTGGGCAACCCTTGTCTAAAATGCTTGGTCCAAAAATGTTTCAGACTTTTTTCATGCATTGGAGCATTTGCACATAAAATATTCAATATTTGCATGTCTTACATATGATCTTGGGAAGGAATCCAAATCTGAGTAGGAAATTAATTTTTTTCTGGTAGACATTATGCACTGTCTGAAGGCATGCTTTCAGAGGACTTATAATAATTTTGTTCATATATTTTGTTTACCGTTTTTGAGAAAAAGCCTCACTATATAGCTCAGGGTGACCCTGAAATTTTTATTAGTTCAGGCTTATCTGAAACTTACGGTTAACACTTTTCAGCCTCCCTTGTGCTATGTTATAGGTGTGCAATACCTCTCCTGGTCTAAAACTAAGATTCATGGTGTAGACTTTTCCGTTTGTGGCATTGTGTTAGGGTTTTAAGATCTTCTCATTTGGAGCTCTTGTTGTTTGTTTGTTTGTGTGTTTGTTTGTTTGTTTTGGGGGTGAAGGGTATTTTATGTTTTTTTATTGTTTTGCTTTTTGATTAGAGTTGCACTGGTTCTTTCCTTGTCACTTTGACAAAATCTGTAGTTTCAGTGTATTTTTGCTAAATTTGGATGAGCATTGATAAGGGAATTTGCTATGGAAATAGTCTTTTTGCTGACATGTGACAACCTTCTGAAGCCTGCCTTCCCTCATCCGACGAGTGGCCAAGTAGCAGCTGATCCTCCTCTCCATTCTCAGAGTAGAGATCTTTTGCTGAACATTCAAGCTCTAACAGATCCAAGATTTTATTGAGAAAAAGTTCTAGCATCGTAGGTTTTACTGTTTTTTTTTTCTGTATTATTTTCTGCCATGCCTTTGCAAATGCATTTGTCTTACCTTTCTTTTGTCTTATTCTTAATTAAAGCTCTTTCCTGGGTATATGCTGTAGATGAGCAAATTGATCATAAGGACTTTATTTGGAATACTGATTTTGGGAGGGCCAGGAAGGCTATGTGTGTTTTACCAAGCTCTTGGGAAGCTTTCTGTCTCCTTCATCATTAGTATACATAGATATGGAGGTAGCACTTACTGAACCATAGGGAAAATAATGACCTTGGAATAATAAAAACCACTTGAGTTAGTGGTGTAGAAACTCTTAAAACTATCCCAGGATGCATTACCATATCTGACTTAATGCTTTCTTCCATGTGTCTATTCAGGTAATATAAGAGTAATGATATTTCTTCCATTATTGAAGAGTGTGACTACCCTTAAAGTCCATATTTATGAAGATGGTTTTTAAGTGAATGAAATAGAATGTGCTGCTTGAGTTCAATCATAGCCTAATTCTACTATACCAAGAAACAATGCACAGTACTATATGTTATTTATAAAAGATAGTTTTTGCTTACTGAATGTTTCTTTGTTTCACAAAATGCTCATTTTTCTCCCCTGTGAATTCTTAAGCTTCTAGAGACCAATCAGTTAATATATTCTGATTGTGAAGGCATGAGGAAGTTGCTCAAAATTTACTGAAGCCTTTGACTTTACTTTTTTACTGAATTCAGCATATGGAACAGAATTAAAAATACTAATTTGATCTTATTTCCTCTGTTTACAGGCCTTGTACAATTCAATCAAGAATGAGAAGCTTGAATGGGCAGTGTGAGTATGTTTGATATCAGCTTTTTAATAATGTGGTTTTTCACACTGCTGCAAATGAAGACTGTGTTTTTATTTCTGGGTGACCTGGACCCAAATAATCACACACAAACTATATTAATTATAACACTGCTTGACCAATGGCTTGGGCGTATTTTTACCTAGCTCTTTCATCTTAAGTTAACTCATTTCTATTATTTTATATTTTACCATGAGGCTTATGGTTTGTTACCACTTGCTTCTTGGGCAGCTACATGGCATCTGCCTGATTCCACCTTTTTTCCTCCTCTATCTCTGCTTAGATATCCCCACCTTGCTATATTCTCCCCTGCCATAGGCCAAAGAAGCTTCTTTATTAACCAGTGGTAATGAAACATATTCACAGCATACAGAGGGGAATCCCATATCATTTCCCCCTTTCTGTCTAAATAAAAAGGAGGGTTTTAACTTTAACATAGTAAAATTACAAAAAAAAATGAAAGATACCAAGCAAGAATTACAGTTACAATATATCTTTGTGAGTCTAAAGTTTCAGATCTCATTTATCTTTTATCATACTAAGAAAAACTATAACTGTCTTCAACTCCTTCAAAGACCCCAAGAAGAATATAATATTACCTAATAAAACAGGAAGTGCATTGTAAGCAACTTCTAAAACTCTAGAATTGACAGAGACATCTTGCTGCCTGGACAGTAACTCAAAGTTCATCTGTACCATTGGGGAATACATCTTCAGCCTACAGGTCCATAGTATCCAGCAGACTTTTCAGTGAAGCAGGAAATTTGAAAGACTGTTTCACCTATATTAGCTGTTACTCAGTCACTTTCTTCTGTGCCCTGAAGAATGTCTGGCAGACTCTTTCAGAAGCAGGAACCCTGAAAGACTGTCTCATTTTCTTTTGGCAAGTTCAGCAGTCATTTTTCTGTGGGTCCTGCATGTCTGGTTTATAGAGAATGCTATCAAGAAACGCAGGATAGAGCAATTCATTGTCCAAATGGCAAGACTTATCACATTGAAGACAAATTTCATAGAGTTTCTTCAGTGCCCATCAGCCTCTCTGAAGTAATTCATGTTGCTAGAATCAGACATGTCTCATTGTTGAGATAAGTCTACATTCTTAAAACCTTCTAAATGCCATATTCCATAGTTCTTTGAAGTATTGAAGATTATCTAACTGAAATGTATCTCTGTATATCTAGAAAACCTAACCAGAATTATTAAAAGTTTGGTTATTATAGATGACTATTAGCCTGTAAACAAGAGTAGACATATACATGTACACAGTATCATATCCCCCTTATTTTTTTTAGTAATTGACTGTGACCATTAATCATTTATAATCAATAGCCTTGAAATAAAAACAGACATTTATAAACAATCATTTTGGGAATTTGGGCATAGTTTTCTCCCGAACTGCTTCCTGCTTTTTGTTGTGTGAAGTATTTTTAGGGTTCATGGAGAACTTTTGGGGGCTCTTGTTCCATCAAACCACATTAGCCTGGAAGGAATCCACAGGTTCCCATCCTCTGTAGAAACAAAAGCAGAACCTCTTTTCCAAAGTGACAGATTCTTAGACTCAAATTTTGAAGTCAAGATAGCTTTAAAATATATATTTTGGTTTAGCTTAGCAGCCCCCAGAATCAAATGTTTTTCAGCAGTTAACTCATTAACAGTCAAAAATACAAAGAAAATACAATAATACACATAATCCAGACTCTCTGTGTATTTTCCATCTTTACACAGATTATTTTTAACTATATTACTTTTTAATGTTTATTTTATTTTCTTTATGCCTTTAATCTTTGATTGTCTGTACTCTTTTATATTACTTTTACTGTCTCTTTAAAGACTTTGTTTTATTTTTTTAAAACTATTTTTTTATAACTGCCTATACTCTTTTTCTTCTGTTTTTTAGCCTACATCCATTTTTTTTTAATAATTTTTTTATTAAGAAAAGAAGAAAAAAAACATAAACAAAAAACAAGTTTCCACCTCCTCCCAGCCTCCCATTTCCCTCCCCCTCCTCCCACCCTTCTCCCCCTTCTCCCACCCTTCTACCCCTCCCCCCACTCCTCTCCCCCTCCCTCTCCAGTCCACAGAGCAGTCCAGGTTCCCTGCCCTGTGGTAAGTCCTAGGTCCTCCCCCCTCCGTCCATATCTAGGAAGGTGAACATCCAAACTGGCTAGGCTTCCACAAAGCCAGCACATTAAGTAGGATCAAAACCCCGTGCCATTGTCCTTGGCGTCTCATCAGCCCTCATTGTTCGCCATGTTCAGAGAGTCCGGTTTTATCCCATGCTTTTTCGGTCACAGTCCAGCTGGCCTTGGTGAGCTCCCAGTAGATCAGCTCCACTGTCTCAGTGGGTGGGTGCACGCCTCGTGGTCCCGACTTCTTTGCTCATGTTCTCCCTCCTTCTGCTCCTCATTGGGACCTTGGGAGCTCAGTCCAGTGCTCCAGTGTGGGTCTCTGATTATTTGTAATAGCCAGAACCTGGAAACAACCTAGATGCCCTTCAATGGAAGAATGGATGAAGAAAGTATGGAATATATACACGCTAGAGTACTACGCTGCGGTAAAAAACAATGACTTCTCGAACTTTGCAGGCAAATGGATGGAAATAGAAAACACTATCCTGAGTGAGGTGTCCCACACCCAAAAAGATGAACATGGGATGTACTCGCTCATAATTGGTTTCTAGCCATAAATTAGGGCCACGGAGTCTACAATAGGTGAACCTAAAGAAGCTAAGTAAGAAGGTGAACCCAAGGAAAAACATATAGTTATCCTCTTGGCTAAGAGCCTACATCCATTTTTAAAACACATTATGACCCATCTAGAGGTTTATTTATGTTTGAATCTGTCTTCTTTATTGTATATCTGTAATCCTTTTTTTGAATCACTGCTTTAAACTGATAAGCAAGTATGGCAAGGACCAGAGCAATCACATTGTCTGTTTGTTCTATCTTGCTCTGCTTTTCAACATGGCGGAGGTCCATTTACTGCAAGCTTTGGGAGTCATGTTTACCACCCGACTCTGGGAAGCACTTGACCCATGCAGCCACCTAGTAACTTGCAGCAGGCTGCCCACAAACCTCATTTAAGTGCCCTGTAACAGGACCTCCCAAAAGAACCAGAGCATTTGAGCCACCAACATGAACCAGGAAACTTCCTCTTAAAGGAGCCACACAGTTTTTGCTGCTAAAGCTGAGTCAGGAAACCTTCTCTTAAAGCAGCTGTGCCTCTGCTCGCTGTCAGCAAACAGAGCCTACCTGAAAATACTCGGCTACCAAGAAGCCCCAATTGACTTCCATTTTTATGGGTCTAGAAGCCCTTTTTTTAAAAGCTTACTTAGACTTTATGTGGATATTCTTGCCAAACATTTGGGTGCTGTTTGTAAATGAAGACTACACTTTCATTTACATACTGCCCAGACCCAAATAATCACACAGAGACTTAATTATAGCCCTGCTTGACCAATGACGTGAGCATATTTCTAGCTAGCTCTTACATCTTAAATTAACCCATTCTATTATTTTCTATTTTATTATGAGACTCGTGGTTTGTTACCTCTTGCTTCTTGGGCAGCTACAAGCCATCTGTCTGACTCCACTTTCTTTCTTCCTCTGTCTCTGCTTAGAGATATTGCTATATTCTGCCCTGCCATAGGTCAAAAAATCTTCTTTATTAACCACTGGTAATAAAACATATTCACATCATACAGAGGGGAATCCCACATCACACTACCTTTCTTTATGCCTTGGAGGTGATTTTAGAGAGTAAAGTATGTATAACTAGTTCTTATTTTATGTCATTTGTCTTACCTGCTTTATGTAAAACCTGAGTAAACCTTGAGAACTCTGTTTCTCTTGGTGGTGGTAGTGTTTGTTAGCATTCTTCTTTTGCTCTCACCTATAAGTTTGTTACCTTATAATGAATCTTTGAAAATTGTTTTTATACCAAAACCTAAAATACATGGTATATGTATCATCTACTTATTTGAGTTTTCCTCTTGCTATCATCAAATATCAAATGAAGCCAATCTTGTTATTTATGACTCTAGTCTACTGTGACATGAATCAATATTAATGAAAAGAGGAAAAAGATTCCATGGGTAGATAAACTTGAGAAATGATTAAGCTAAGCCACCCATTTGTTTTAAACTTCAAGTTTAGAACATTACATATTATTAATAATCTCTCAAGGTATTGCATATTATTAACAGTCTCTAAAAGGAAGGAATAATTTTGAATCTGCTTGACAGTAAAATATACTGTTTCAGGGCTTATGCTTTAGGAAATATTGTTTAAATAAATTCTACTTAACTTTACATAAGCAAATAATACTTTCTTATTAAATTTTCACTAATATACAATTAATTTTTTTTAATAATTATTAGGTTTGTTGTTGAGATGGCTTAGTTGGTGAGAGAGAACTTGTTATTATTCTAAAGTTGTCCTCTGAACTCCACATGTATCATGACAGGCTGGTGCCCATACACCTTCTCCCTATGCCCTCCCACACACATATGCATAGTGAGTTTTTAAAGTTAGTATCATTTGAATTATTCCACTAATTCCAGGTTATATATTGCTGTTGTAGGTGACTCCATTTAGGAATTTAATATTTGCAAGTGTAATCACCTGCATTCTGTATTCATACATGATAACGCTCACTTAACAGCAATGTATCATTTTAAGGAGTTCCTGTAACATTCTCAACCGTCATGGTAGAGAGCACATGCTGTTCCTACAGAGAAGAGAGTTCAGTTCCCAGCACTGGCAGGGTATGGTATTCACAACCATAGCTCCAGTTCCAGAAGACCCTACACCATCTTCTGACTTCTAGGGGCACCAGGCATCACACTCATTGTGGAGTCAGTTCTGAGTATGAGTTTCCTTCTCAGTAGACCAAGTTAATGTCAGTGATTGCATCTCAGGTGACTTACTGAGGACCCAGAAGTATTCTGCAACACTATCCAAAAATGGATTGTACTTCAGTTCAC